ATGATCTTAATTTTTTTGAATGTTGTGTTTTAAGCCAGCTTTTCCACTCTCCCCTTTCACTCTCATCAAGAGGCTTTTTAGTTCCTCTTCGCTTTCTGCCATCAGGGTGTCCTAGACTATTCTTCTAAGATCCTTGTAGAGCAAACAGCCTTGAAGATAGTGCCTCCCTGTGGGGCAGAAGGCAGATTGTCAGAGTAATACAGATACTATCTAGCTATAGGGTTTTCTAGCAGCTCCATATAAAATACTGGGATTTCCTAAACTTAGAGGTCTCAGCAGGGATGTGAACCTATTTCGTTTATGAAACGGTGGCAGGAAGGAAGATAAAATCTGCAGAAGGAAATGAGAAACCTAAGTGGAGAGATAAACCATCGTATTCAGTAATTGGGAGTTGTTCAGGTGTCAGTTCTCTTCAAATGCATCTATAGATTTAAGACAATTCCAATAAAAATATCAGCAGGACTCTAAAATACATGGAGAGAAAAAGGAGCTAGAAAAGCCAAAATAAACTGTGAAAAGATCAAAGTTGGAGGAATCTTACCAGGGGCGCCCAGACTCGCTCCAGGGCCCCTGGGACTGAGGCCACGTGGGTCTGTCAGTGGGCGCGCTGCCCCGAGGGCAGTGGGCTGGAGGACACGTCCAGAGCAGACCCAGACCCACGCGGGGACAGTCGACTGAGTTTTGACAAAGACACAGAGGAAGTCAGTGGAGAAAGGACTGTCTTTTCAACCAGTGGTGCTGGAAACACCAGCCACCACCTTCAACCAAAGCAAATCAACAGCTGACCTTAACTCACGCAAACATTAAGTCAAAGTGATCGCGGACCGACATGTAGAACGTGGCACAATTTTTACACTTTTTGAAGTGTAAGGCTTTCCAAAGACAGCACAGGAGGGAAACCTCATGAACTTGAGTGAGGCAGATCTGAGAGTCAAAGTGTAGTCTGTAAATTAAGTAACTGTTGTGGACTTGGAGAAACTGTGGCAGATTGCGTCTCCGACAACGGATTTGTATCCAGGGTCCCAGAAAGCTCTCGTGGCTTAAAAAAAACCCACAAAGATACCAAAGGATGCTCAGAATACTTCAGGGTGTCCTGAAGATCCAAGTGAAAACTTGGTGAGTGCCCACCCCTGCACGCCTGTGAGAGCAACTGAAATAAAGCAGTTGGAAGAAGCGCAATACCAAGTACGTGAGCTCTCACACTGCTAGGGGCCTGGACACTCTGAGGCTCTGGGATGAGATGAGGGTCAGGCTCACACGACCTGGGTGGGAACATTTACAGCAGCAGCATCTTCGTCATGAGATGCTGTAAACCACCCAGATACCCTTCAACGTGGGAAGCAATCAGTATACTGAGATATATGCACAAGGGGACCACCCCACTATATAAGAAACACTTAATGACCCGAGGACGAACCTCAGATGCATCAGTGAGAAAAGCCAGATGCAAAAGGCTACGTGTGATGTAGGCCGCTCTATGGAAATTCTGGAAGTGACCAACCTGGAGCCTGAGGCCAGATCAGTGGGTGCTAGGGGCTAAAGAGTGGAGGCTGGACAGCACACAGGATGTTGGGGACAGAATGGTCCTATCTCTGGATTTTGGTGGTGGTTATACAACTCTTGGCCAAACTCACAGAACTGTACACAAAAAAGTGCAATTGGCTGTTGTAAAATTTAAAAGGCATTAAAATATGATATACGTTCTTTACAGTGTTTCCTGTTAGTCAGCCTCCTAGCAGCCTTGAACCTCAATCTCTCTCCTTCCTGATGTGTTATCAGCAAATATTCTGTTTCCACTTTTTGAAAATCCCTACAGATAAGCTATTTATTATTTTAAGATTTGCTTAGTTTTACCTCAATGTTTACCAGTTAATTAACTCATCATTTCTTCTTCTTTTTTATTTTTGTTTTCTGTTTACTATTTTTTGCTTATTTATTTGGCTGTAGCAGCTCTTAGTTGTAGCATATGGGATCTTCCTTTTTTTAAAAATAATCTTATTCTTTTGTCTATTTTGGCCATGTTGGGTCTCTGTTGCTGCGTGTGCCCTTCCAGGGTCGCAGTGCACAGCTTCTTGTTGCTCTGGCTTCTCTTGCGGAGCACAGGCTTAGTCGCTGGGGCACACGAGTTTAGTTGCCTTGCAGCATATGGGGTCTTCCTGGGTCAGGGATCAAACCCACCGATGGTACAACAGATAAATAAATATGGATATGTGTACAATGAGAACTCCACAGCAATGAAACGGATTACAGATGCAAACAGTATTAAGGAGTCTCAAACAGGCATCTGTGGATGTAGGGTGTGTGAGTTGTGTAGACGGTGTATATACACATATGGACATGTACACATATGAGTGTGCATGTGCATGCATATGGTTATCTATTCACTACACATGCATATCCAGATGCATGTGTGCATGTGCAGGCATTTATATATTTTGTACACACACGTGTGTGTGTACATGAGTGCATGTGCATGTACACACATGTGCATATGTGCACACACACATGTATATGTGTCTTGCTTGCCTGAATGCATATGCACGTACTAATGTGTGTACATTCACATGTGTGTGCATGTGTACATGTATGGATAGGCATGTGTGTGCATTGCATTATGTATGCATGTCTACCAATGGGCATGTATGTCTACCAAAGGGCATCCATGTTTGTGTGAATGTACATTCACGTATACACGTGTGCACTTATGTGCCTTTATGTGTGTCTATGCATGCATATGTGTATGTGTACATATATGTACTGTATGCATGTGTGTATGTGTAGCACATATGTATGCATACACACATAAATGCACATATATATGAAATGAGCAACACTTAACAGAACTGGATGTACACAGATGGTATTTTACCAAGGCCACCGGCTTTTCCAAGTGGATGCACAAATTAACACACTCCCAGCCACACGTGAGGCTGTCTGAGATCCCACACCTTTCCCAGCACCTGGCGTTTTCAGACTTGAATCATCCCAATCTGATGAGTGTGTAATAATTTATTGTTGTAGTTGATACCACTTTTTCCCTACTGCCAATCAGCACCTTTCCATGTGTTTACTGGGAATGGTGTTGTTTAGTTGTGAAATTGTGTCTGGCTCTTTGCAACCCCGTGGACAGCAGCCTGCCAGGCTTCTCTGTCCATGGGATTTTCCAGCCAAGAATACTGGAGTGGGTTGCCATTTCCTCTTCCAGGGGATCTTTCTGACGCAGGGATCGAACCTGTGGCTCCTGCATTGGCAGGTGGATTCTTTACCCCTGAGCCATCAGGGCAGCCTGTTACTGGGAATGTGGATGTGCTATCTGACCAATATCCAGGAGAATCATCTGCCACTCCCACACTGATTTCCAACAGAACTTTTCAGTGTACGTGTGTGGAGTAGTATCTTCTCCAGCGCTATCGTCTCTTCTCAGTGTTTATGAGAAATTATTGCATCAACTTTATCAGGATAGAACTAGAATGAACACAGCAGTTCAGCTCATTTTAGAAATGCATACACTCACTGAATTCTGCATTAGGATATAAAACACCCCCTTTTTTCCGTAAAATTCTCTATCCATTCACCACCGAGGTTGCTTCTACCTCCTGACTATTGTCCTTAATGCTGCTGTCATCATGGGCTGCAGCCCTCTCCCATGTCCCATTTTCATTTCCTTTGGATATATATTCAGAAGTGGACCGCTGGGTCATATGGCAGCTCTAGTTTTAATTTTCGGAGGAACATCCGTACTGTTTTCCCTAGCGGCTGCATCAATTTACATTCCCATAGAGCTCTTATGTTCCTTTCTTTTAAATATTTTATCTTCCACTTGACTAATTCTCTTTTAAGCGGCGCCTAATGCAGACTGCATCCATCTAACTACCACTGAGGTCTTTGTATTTCTAATTCTAGAATTTTCTTCCGATGCATTTTTTGTAATTTTCCTGCCAAGTTCCTCCATCTGGTTGTTAAATTTCTTAAACATCATAATCAAGTTTTTATTAAAGAGATGCCTGATAGGTGCTGGCACCTGAGCCTTTGGTTTCTATTCCTCTTGGTTCTTTTTCCCTCTGCTCTGGTTCTCCTGCTTTCCTGGGCTTGCTTGTTTCTGATTTAGGACCAGGCTTGCTACACAAACATCCCAGGGGATGGAAGGAGCTCTGGACGATGTTATCCCTCTCCAGAGAGTGTTTCCTCCTGCACCTGGCAGGTGACCAGGCTGACAGGGTGGTTATAATTCACTTGAGAATGAAGTGGGTTTCAGTCTTTACGAGGCAGGTGGCTTTCAGCTCCCCTTCCCCACTTGAGCGTGGGACTCTGGCCTCCCACCCAGGTCTCCTGGGTGCCCACTGTCCTCCCAGCGGTGGGAGATGCAGAACATCCCTCAGTTCCTCCAACTCTCAGCTGTTGCAATGTCTTTAGGAATGTCTGGTCTCTACCGGAAGGGACAAACATCTGCCCCCACCGCACTCATATCCTCTCTGAATCTTAGACAAAGAAATGCTCGTGTCGGGCTAAGCCCCCATTGTCTTCAAAACTCTTTTTTGATCTTTTGATGCTTTCTCCAGTTGTTCTCATCAGGAGAGATCAGATAGTTTAGCCCGTCACTCCCAGAAGCCGGAATCCTCCTCCCTTTTTTATTATATGAAAACTATTATTATTTTTTGGAAAGCTCAGAGTACTGTTTTACAAGCTCATTGTTGGGCATGTCTGACTGTTTTTATGGGGGAGATAGTGAAGCTTTCTATTCTCCAGGTCCCTGTAAATTGGATCTCTGTCTCTTTCTTAATTGCTTCCCGGAAGAAGGCAGAAAAGATGTTTACACAGTGCTGGATCCCTTTGGGAGAAGCGCAATCATGGAGACATGCTGTCTCGGGGGGTCAGTCTCGGTGACAGGTCAGCACGTGGGCCAGGTGCCCCTGGAGCCCCTGAGAGCACAATTTTCTCTTTTCACTTTGACCTGAGTCTGGACACAGCCCTGCCCTCCACTGGGCCACAGATGCCCCCACCTGGGGCTTCCTCTTCAACCCGGAGGCCAGGGAACGCAAGGCTCCCAGCGCTGAGGGTAGATGGAGCTGGAGGGGCGGGGGGCTCCAGTCAAGGAGTGGGGAGTCCTGACGGCTGGGCACACTGTCCCGCGGACCCTGGTGCTTGAGCGTCTGCCGAGCACCAGCAACGGCCATGGCTGGACGGGGCTGCCCTGGGGCTCACAGGGCAAGTCCCGGAGGCCGGGGCGAGGCCGGGCAGCCTGTGCCCGAGTCACGGGCCGTTGCAGCAGCAGCGCCCGCGCTTCCCTGGGCTCTGCCCATCATTCCTGCCACGGGGCGCTCAGTTCTGCGCGGTCTCGTGGCAATGGTACCTGAGGCCAAGCCCACGCAGGACCAGGAAGCACGCGTTCGTCGCACGGCCAGCTAGTCCAGAGTCCAGGGTGTCCCGGCCGCTCAGCGCCCCCAGCCCCGGCCAGGCCCACAGGAGGGCCCCCGGGGGCCAGGTAAGCGGAAGGAAGAAGCCCGCACTCCACTTCCCAGTGGGCCGGCCGCAGCGTGGCCCCCAGTCACAGGCGCCCCTGAAGACACTGAGGAACAGCCGCCCGCGTGGGGAGAGCCACGCACGCGCCTGCCCACCTGTGGGGGGAGTGGCCCAAGCTGAGGAAACGCAGATTCCTGGGCATGGACTAGCGGCCCGGAGGGAAGAGCCCTGGAGGCGGGAGATGCGACCCCCTGGGGAAGACGCGGGGAGGGGCCCGAGCGCGGGGTCTGCTGGAAGTCAGGCACCCCGTGGCGTGGAGTGCCCAGGGGGTCCCCTCAAGGCACCCTGGAGGCCCTGCTTGGGGAAAACACGGAGGAGGAGAGGCGTGACGTCCTTAGGGATTAATGGTGTGCACTCAGTCTGACACCCCGCCGTGTCCCCAGTGGAGGGCTTGGGAGTTCAGGACAAAGCGTGGGGCTGGTCAGGGTCTCTGGAGAAAAGGAGCAATGGGCTAGAGAGACACAGGAGTGTTCTTGTCTTCTGGCTGCTCTACAAGGCTGGTGGGGCTTCCCTGGTGCCTCAGACGGTAAAGAATCTGCCTGCCGTGTGGGAGACCTGGGTTCGATCCCTGGGTAGGGAAGATCCCCTGGAGGAGGAAATGGCAACCCACTCCAGTATTCTTGCCTGGAGACTCCCGTGGACAGCGGAGCCTGGAGGGCTACAGCCCAGGGGGCTGCCCAGAGTCCTGGACGTGACCGAGCGACTAACGTAACTTTCACATCACACCACAAGGCTTGCAGGCTCTTAGTTCCCTGACCGGGGATTGAAACTGGGCTGCCTGCAGTGGACGCTCAGAGTCCTAACCACTGGACTACCAGGGAGGTCTGCGGAGTGACCGACTGCAGGCCTCGGCTCATACTGTCAAGGAGGCGGAGAAGCCCCACCGGACACTGGGAAGCGGGGAGTGTGGTGTCACTGGGGCCACGTCTGAGTGCCCGAGAAGGTGGAGGGCAGCGCCCGAGGGCGGGAGAAGACGGGCGCCCCTGCTCAAGCAGGGAGCACGGTCCCTCTGTCCCCCTCGGGCTCTCACGGGCTGGATGACGCCTGCTGTGCTGGGAAAGGCATCTGTCTCCCGAGTCCACCCCGTCAGAGGCCGACCCCTCCCGGACCACATGTTCCCAACTCTCTGGCCTCCCTCGGCCAGTCGAGCTGACACATGAAGCTGACCGTCTCAGAGCCGGGGCCGCTGCTGGCCACCTCCCCCAGGACCCCCGGGGCCTGTGTGCTTCCTGGGCCCACCGCCCTGGACTCGGCACAGGTGGGGGTGCTGGTCCCCAAAGGGGGCGCTAGCTTTTGTGGGCACGCCACGTGACCCTGGCATTCAACCTCTCAGGAGGCTTGCCAAGCCCAGCCCCGCCTCCCACCCCCTGCAGCAGGCGAGCTAAGATGACTCAGCTCTGGCTGCTGGTGGCAAGCCTGTGTCCAGCAGCTTCTGGAACCTTCCCTGAGAGATAGATGGTTTGGCCTTTGCCCTCTTCTTCACCACTGCCTTTGCCTCACGTTCAGAGCAGGACAACGGCCACCCTTGCCCATGATCTGGCGCCCTTGGCCTGGGGACGATGCAGTGGTGAGGAGGGCGGGCGCTGCCCCGTCTTCAAGAGAAACTCTTAAGCCGCCAACATGTTATAGTTGCCACTCGCGCCTGCCCTGACGCTTGTGCCCTGGACCGAGGCCAGGGCCAGAGCCTGCCAAAGGCCCAGCAGCGCAAGCTGGGGGAGCCCGTGTCTTGCACAAACACTTCCACACCTGTAGCAGTGGGCTTGGGTGGCGGAAATGCCTGGAGCTTTAAGCACACTCGCTGTCACCCAGGCCTGGGGCGAAGCTTCCTCTTCTTACAAGGTCCCTGGTCACACTGGGTTAGGACCCTCCCTAGTGACATCATTTTAACTTAATCCCCTCTTTAAAGGCCCAGCTCCAAATAGTCACAGAGTCTGCTGCACTGGGGGTCAAGACTTCGCCACGTGAACATGGGGGGCAGCATTCAAACCATCAGTGGCAGCTCAGCGCTTGTGCACGCATGCACGCCTGGGGCTGCGGAGGTGAGGGGACCCCGACACGCACACAAGGACGCGCTGCGGGAGCTCACCCAGCCCGGCCTTCTAGGAGGCTGCAGACCTCTGGAAGAGGGCAGGAAGAGGTCTGGAGCTCAGCCTCTGGGGCAGCCCCCGACCTTTGCCCACCCCCCAGTACTGGCCGAGCCCCAGGAAGAGGAGACTGCAGAGCGACAAAGAAGCTGGTGTTTTTTTGTTTTATAAATTACATATGGCCTTCCACTTCCTCATTGTTTGGCTGGGCTGGGTCTTAGTTGCTGCACGTGGGATCTAGTTCCCTGACCAGGGACCGAACGTGGGCCCCTGCATTGGGAGCGAGGAGTCTCAGCCACTGGGCCACCAGGGACGTCCCAGGCGTCGCTGCTGAGTGGACCAGGGAGGCGGGGAAAGTGGCCCCCGGGGGCAACCCTGCCAGGGGGCGGGGGAGCCTCTGGGTGAGGGTCAGCTCCCAGCGCACCTGCCCGCGCCCCCGGCCCCAGCTCCTGGGACGGAGACCTCCCTTCCCTGCAGACACAAGCCGACTCCTCCGCAGGCTGTCTTGGGGGGCCTGCCGAGCCAGTCATGGAGAACAGCAGGACGGCTGAAGGGAGTGTCCCCTGGTCCCCCGACCAGGAGTCTGGGTCACCCTCTCACGTCGTCCTTCCGCTCCTTCTTGGGTCCTGCCCGCTGCCCCTCCTGCTCCCCAGACGCTCCTCTCCTTTGCTGGGGCTCCGGGTGGCCAGGCTGCTTGTTACCTGTTACTGGAGAGCCTCACTCCAGGCCCAGGTCCTGCAAGGATCACGCTGGAGTTTTCTGAGGGCCGTGGGGCCGCGAGGCTCCAAGGCCTGAGTGTGGCAGCCCAGTGGCCAGGCTGGGCGGAGGGGCACACGGCCGGCCTGGCTGAGCCTGGGAGGCCAGGGAGGCCCAGAGCCCACCCTGCGCTCTGCCTTTGCTGGGAAAGGCCTTCGGACAGCCGAGCCGTCTCCATCTGTGAGCAGACTCAGGGCGAACCCGTGTCCCCTGCTTCGGAAGGTGGATTCCTAACCACTGAACCACCAGGGAAGTCCCAAGATGGTGAATTTTGTATGTATTCTACTACAATAAAAATAACTGAAAAGGTATGACTGTCCTAATTCTCTCCACTGAACTGGCCTCGAAACGATGACCACAGCAGCAGCAGCGAGCACCCCGGGACTGGAAGTGGGAGCCCTGAACACCCACGGAAGTCCCTCTGGGAAGGATCCAGGACCCCTGGAGAAAAGGCTGGGACGGGGCTTCTATAAGGTGAACGAGGACCTCGGGTCCTGCCTCAAGGCACGGAACCCAGGAGTATTGAATCCTGCCGCATCGCTGCAAAGTGGCCCAGGGGCAAACACGGTCCAAGATGCGACCCCTTGGTCGCTGGGCGGGATGGCAAGTATGACAAGCTGGGATGTGTCACGGCAAAGATCCAATGTGAGCCTGTGAGGCGGGCTGTGACAGAGCCCACGCCCTCCCCCCGGCAGGGGTGGGGTCCGTGGCTGGCTCCTGACGCCCGGGCTGGGGCAGAGGCACTGGGCTTTCAGAGGTCACTGAGGCGACCAGGGTGGCTCTTCCCGGTGGCCTGCCCTGTTCAGGGAGGCCCTTCCTACGAGGCCGCGCGTCCGTGAGAGGACAGCACCCGGGTGTCCTCTACGTTTGCGGCGACTTGTTTGAGCACAGAAAACGCACACGCTGGCCCCAAAAGGCAACGGGGCCAAGGCTGAGCAGCTCGTCTCAGGCAGTGGTTTTCTTCTGGGAAGGTGTGTGTGTTAGTCTCTCAGTCGTGTCTGACTCTTTGTGACCCCATGGACTGTGGCCCGCCAGGCTTCTCAGTCCATGGGATCCTCCAGGCCAGAATACTGGAGTGGGTAGCCATTCCCTTCTCCAGGGGAATCTTCCTGACCCAAGGATTGAACTCGGGTCTCCTGCATTGCAGGCAGATTCTTTACCATCTGAGCTATTGGGGAAGCCTTCTGTAAAGGGCCAGATAGTAAATATTTTTGGCTTTTCTATCATCACACAACAGGTGACCACAGACTTAGTGGCCAAACAGCACGCGTTGTTTCAGCTCGTGTTTCTGAAGGACTGAGGTCCAGACACGTTCTCTCCTCGGGGCCACAGGCTGACATCACAGGGGGCTCCCTGCTGCAGGCTCTGGGGCGAAGCCACCTCTGGGCCCGTCCAGGTGGCTGGCAGAGTTCAGTCCTCTTGGCTGTGGGGCTGAGGGTCTCCCTCCCTGGCTGTCATCGGCGGGGCCTTTCCGCTCCTTCCCCAGGGCCCTCTCTGTCTCAGCCCTCCTGTCGCATCTCTCGCTTTTTGACTCTCTCTGAATTCCTCTGACGCCAGCCGCCACTCGTGTGACTTAGATTAGGCCCACCCAGGTCATCGCTTGATTTTACTTATTCATGCATTTTTTATGTTTTCCTTTTATGGCTGTGCTATGCAGCATGTGGGATCTTAGTTCCCCAACCAGGAAGTCAACATGCGCCCCCTGCAATGGAAGTCTGGCGTCTTATTTTTTTTAAGATTTATTAACATTTATTTTTGGCTGTGCTGGGTCTTCCTGGCTGCTTGGGCTTTTCCCTCACGGCAGCGCGTGGGGA